AGATTCGTAATGAATGTGATGGGCAAGATCCAACTAGTAAAATTCGTCATATCGATATCATCCAATCAATAGATGGGTGAATCCGCCGGGTTTCTACCACTTTCGGGAAAAATTTTTTTTTTCAATTTTAATAGGCTAGTTAGACGGAACGTCGTCGATAATGGTCTGAGGTAACAATTAAAATCTTTTTACTCATAAAAAGTATGGAGATCCAAATCGTTTTTTAGAAACATCTCAAGGTATATATATCGGGTGTCCAGTAAGTAACTATACAAAGAAAAAGTTGAATATCTTCATTACGGCTCGACCAAACAGGCTCATTTTTTACCAAGGATAGAGGCATGTTCACACTTCAAATCCATACGGACAAGGTTAGTGAGAACCTTTGTTAAATACTACTATTGATCTCGACAAGAAAATTTTACTTGTTCACAGATAGGAAAGGGCGTGGGTGTGTGGGTGTGGATGTGGATGTGGGTGAGGGTGCCGGTGTCGGTGTAAGTTGTAATCACATCAAGATTGATTCATACTCATACTCACATCCACACTCTCCTTTTAGAATTCTGTTCGTTAAAAAAACAACCTTCGTCGGTTGAGATCTAAAAGTAAAACAACTCCACCATTTCCTGAAATAAGTGAAACAAGTAGTTTGTACTGGAATGGTTTTGAAGAACTTTGTGCGTGATTATTTTCTATACCTCATACGGGATCATTAGTTTCGATGGTGGATATTTCCAAAGAATATGAACTTATTCTTAAGCGACGTCAAGAAAGAGTCACCAATGACATGCTACGAACAACTTCAATTCGTTATCGTCTGAAGAGCAAATTTAGTGATGTCTTGCACTTCGAAAAAAGTAGTAATTATGATGTAAGTTAATCGAATACGATGTTTTATTATATTTTAAATAGAGACATTGATGAAAAAAATCTTTAGATGCTAAAATAGCATTCGTTTTTGTTTTAGGATGTTTTTGTAACATTTTCTGATATCTCAATCTACGTTCGTTTAGGAGTAAGTCAACGAAAAGTTTGGGAAAGATCAATTTTATTACCCAATCGTGATGCTATAGCTTGTGAGAAATTGATACAAGTGATAGAAGAACTTCGTAATTAAATTAAAAGTTATGCACATTTATTTAAGATAATCACGCATGATACTTCTACATTAATTAATTTTGATGTCAATGTCTACTTGAGTTGTGTTCCTCTGATCTTAAAAAATTTTATTGGCAGGCTAACCTTAAGTGATGATTCATTTGCCGATATGAAAAAAGAATACAATTTTTATGATCTTGTCAATAAAGATATGTTTAAACATTCATCAAAATGGATGAAGATTGCTTCCTCCTATTACGATCTTATTCATCTACAAAACAATAAAAGCATCACACCTAAACACTGTAAGTTTTACTATATAAATAAAAACATACATGTAAAATTTTTTTAGATTTTTTGGAAAATAGAATTTTTCGTCACGAAAGATCAAAACAATTATTAAATATTACTAATCGGCTAGGACACAAACCGAGCTACAACACCATTGTACGTCTTCATCAAAATGCAGCACGTAATGCTAGAACAACAACTGATCTATTTCTTCTTCGACAAAATCAAAGATCATCACAGTATGGTCATCATTTTGTAAAGTAGCAGACAATTTTGATATCAATCCAGATGCATTATATGGTAATAATAGTATTCATATTCTTAATTAAATTATTGTTTCAATAGACGAAAACAATGAAATTTCAACTATAATTGGATATATTCTTGATGATATATTAAATGAAATCGTGAAGTCAGATACTTTTCTTTCAGTAAGCGTGCTTTCTTTTATATGGCAATGACTATGGATAATATTTTTGTTTGAATAAAGACAAATGTGTTATCTTAATAGTAATTGATCATAATAGTTTTCTTTTTTTGAAATAGTTCCATGCTTCACAACCTATTAGAACTATCTCAACTGCTGGTTCTTCATCATTGTCATACAAAATGTTGACAGATGATTCTTTGTTTTTTCGTTTATTGGCTTGATTAATTAAATATGCAAATGATAGCACTTGTTTATCAACTAATTTTTTTTGCTTCTTCCACCCACTACAATACCACTCATCTCCGGATTTTTTGCTACCTATTTTCATTCAGAACCACGGTCTCTTCATATCGTCTCGTTTTTAACATCTATTAATAAAGATTCAAGCTCTGAGCCAACAGCTGAAAAAAGGTTAGAATATACAACAAAGCTGTTGGTCAATTCTAGTTATCAAAAACAGGGAATTTTAATAGTAGATGGAAAAAAGTATCGTTCATGTTTAAAGGTAAATACTTGAACTACTAAACCTTTTCCTTTTTCACTCTTTTTTCTACTAATAGATCGAACGTCAAAAATCTGACCTCTTCAAAAATATTTTTGTATGTATTGAAGATTTTCATCTGATGAAAAATATGATGATAGTCATTTGGAGTGTTCTTAAAGGATCTGGAATTGAAAATATATTTGAAACAATATACAAAAGGTGTGGGTGCTATTCTTCTTATCATATACACCCATACCCTCGACATCATATTTCGGATTAAATGGAGGCTAAACTTGTCATTTAAAATTTTCTATAACTACCATCCCAGGTCGAACGAGCACGATCGTAAACGATCGTATACGGAGAAATACGACCAAA